AATATTTGAAATCACCCAAAGCCTTCCACAGGTAAACATATGTTGTCATTTGTAGGAATGGCACATTTTAGCAAGAACTATATCCCAGATTATTGAGCTGTTTTAGCTCCTATGAGGAAACACATTACTAATGCAGGTAGTGCACATTTGAATGCTCCACTGATGAGGACAGCAGAAGCCAAAGAAGCTGTTAAATGCTTGAAACAATTGTTAAATCAGGCTTCTGTGTTGGCCTCTGCAGACTAAGGGAGGATGTTTTTATCTGGATGTGAAGTACATTGACAGGGATCTTAGTTCTGTTTTATGGTTAATGGGAATTTTAGGGAGGAAGGTTTTATGTTACTATAGTGCAAATTGAGAGTTTGAAAAGGGACAACAATCTTGCACCAGAGCTCTGTGTGCAATTTCTAAAATTGTGATGATCTGGTGCTGATGACAAGCTTAATTGACCATTTCATTCACCTGTCCAATTCTGCCCAGTTTTCTCATCACTGCTCATCTGATTTACCTGTTCCAGCTTCTATTTAAACTGCTTGCTCCAAGTCATCAGTGTCAGATTACTCTCGAGCCCTCTGTGAGAGTTTTTCTAGCCTTAATTCTTGTGTTCTGATTGCCTGATCCTGACCTGTTTTTGTCTTCAGACCTTTGAGCCTGCCTTCCCCTGTTCTGATCTGTTTGCCTGACCTGTCTTTGGAATCCTGTTGGATTCCGCCTCCTGACTTTGCCCTCTGGATTATCCTGTCTTCCATCATCCGCTCTGATCTGGTCTCCTGTCAGTTCTGTCTCCTTCAAGGCTTCATTGTCTGTAACTCTCTTTGCAGCAACCACCGTGTATTGTCAGCCAAGCGGCTGATATGAACCTCGTTCTCTGGGCATAGACTGTAATATAAACAGGTTAGTGACTCAGGTGGTCAGATTATCCTCCATCAAGTTTTCATGGTCACTAACCTGTGTTTCCTCCATTCAGAGTTACCTGCCTCAGACTCTTTAGCCGCTGCTGCAGATCCACAAACCGTCAGTGTTTTACTTAATGCTTTTTGAAGTGGCTGTCTGTCTGGCCTGAATACTGGGTCCCTCTGTTCTCACTTTTGAGAAAAGTTATTAAAAGGACAGGTCATATTACCCGATTCCAGAAAATCACTGTGCATACATCTAATGGAGTAACTAGCTAAATTTCTTGCAAGAATTTCCCTCTTGGTCACAGTAGGACTAATAAATTATAGGGGAATATTGTTACACCCCACAGTTAATTATGCTCCTACAGTGCCTAGTTAAATCCCTTATGAATGTGAACCTTTGGCAGCAGAGAAGATTAATGTTTTCCCAAATGTTTTAAAAGAACCCCTTCAACATGCTATAGCTATGCTATCCCAGGACAGGGAGTTGTTAATTCATATGCTGTGGTCATTTCTCCTCCTCCTCCTTCTGCACATTTGGCCGAAATATTTTCTGTAACTAGAGTCTGTGAGCTTTACGAAGACCAGAGCATCAAGATGTNTCTCCTCCTCCTCCTTCTGCACATTTGGCCGAAATATTTTCTGTAACTAGAGTCTGTGAGCTTTACGAAGACCAGAGCATCAAGATGTATACTGATTGTGTTTATATAGTCAAAGCTGTTCATGTAGATTTGGCACATTGGATTCAAACTGACTTTCTCACTACAACAGTTGAACAGGTAAACCCTTTGTCTCAATTGGTTAAGTTCAAAGAGGCTTCAACTAAGCCAAATAAGGCATTCATGATCAAATGCTCTGGTCAACACTCTGGTACAGGAACAGTTAATTTTGGGAATAATGCTGCAGGTGCAGCAGCTAAAGAATTAGCTGTCATGGTTCTGAGCACCCCTGAGGACACTCTGTGCTGTCCCAAGACCTCAAGTAATGCAGCCTGTTCGTGGGTCTGAAGTCGCACCGCCTGTTTGTGGGTCTCATGCTGTGCCACCTCTTTGTGGTTCTCAAGCTGCATCGACTCACCATAGTCTACTGGTGCCACAGTCGGAGGTCCCCAAGGTTCCTGCAGAGATGCTGATCTCCAAGGCTCCTGCTGTGGAAACGGGGGCCTACAAGGCTCTTGCTGCGGAGACGCAGGCGTTCAAGGCTTCTGTTGCTGAGCACTAGCTTCCAAAGTTCTTGATACTGAGACGCCGGCCTCTAAGGTTCCTGCCGCTGAGACGCCGGCCTACCGACCATCTTCCAGTGCCTCTCCTTTTTCAGCCGACCTCACGGCCATCCTCCAGAGGTTCTCCTTCTCCGCCGGCCTACCGGCCATCCTTCAGAGTCTCTCCTTCACCTTCAACGTCAGCCTCCCAGCAGACATCCGGAGGCTTCACTATGTTTCCGGCCTCACAGCCAGCCTCTGGCCTCCAGAGACCGTTCCTCGCCTCAACATTTATTTATTTTTATTTTTTTTGAGTTTGCAGTTATTTTACATCATTCTGTTTTGTTGGTCATTGGTTTCTTCTACATTTTGTGTTATATCTTAGCAGTGTTGCATTTTTTGAGTCACTCTCTGTTGCTCCCAGAACCAGTCTCCTTTCCCCTAGCTTTGTTCTGTTTACTCCTATCCAGAATTCAAAGCAAACAGACAGGTGAATTTCTCAAACACGTTTATTAAAAATGAAGAAACCTC